GTTCAGTTTTGAAGAATTCTTAGAACTTGTCTACGTGCATGAAATTAACCCCTACTCAGATAAATTAAAGCTGTATTTATTTCTTTTTAATTGCAGTTGACATACAATACAATGCATGAAGGTGTAGAACAGAGTGATTAGGTATTTATATAACTTATTAAGGGATTGCCCCGATAAGTCTAGTATCCATCTGACACCACAACCAGTTGTTATGATGTTACCATTTTCCCTAGACTGTACTTTACATCCCTGCATTTTTTTATAACTGGCAATTTGTGTTTCTTAATCCTGTCACCCCTTTCACCCACCCTCAGTCTCCTTTCCATTTGGTGACCGTCAATTTGTTCTTTGTATGAGTTTTTTTTCTTTAATTTTGTACAACTGTATGTGTTGATAAGCTCCCTAAAAGTTGGAGTATAAAAAATTCAGCAACAGTTAATATAGTTGAGTCTAGCAGCAATTACACTAGTTTAGAATATCACATCCTCAAACAATTCCTGTTTGTGTTCAAACATTGAACTACAGGGGATGGTCAAGTTAAGATGAAGTTAACCTCGCAGGGCCCTATTGCATCAAAGTAGACAGAGCATTGTTGAGAAATGAGATGAGAAGGAGCGAGAGTTCAGAGGGAACCCAGAAGTCTGTCTCTGCAAGTCTCCAAGTCCTCATGCTCTTCCGTTGAGCAGCAGCAACAGGGAAGGATTCACGGTACCTAGGTGCGTGCTTTTCGTGCGGGTGGGCTCCTCAGATATTCAGTGTCTGTGGTTCCTAAGATTTCAGTGGGTTAGACCAATGAGCTAATTTTTGTTTTGTGGCACCAGCCAGTAGAATTTCGTGATCATCTTTAGTTATGGTCAGCCTGGAACAGAGATGTTGGAGGTTACAGGTATTGGATGTAGTCCTTGGTCAAGAAGCCAAGGGTAGTGACAGTATTGGCAAAGACCAATGCAAGAGAGGGACCATAAATATTGGTTGGGTGGGGCAGGAAGTAAAGCCCAAAGCCTGCTCATCTGGGGGAACTGGAGGCACTGAGGTCGACTTGAAAAGGTGGAAGAGTAGTGTTGATGATTATTGCCAACATAGACGGAGGGCAGAAACATTTACTTCTCACAGCGGTCTTAGAGTTATCTTTATAGATAAGGAACTTGAAGCAAAAAGCTTCAATAAATTGCTTAAGGTCGAACTGTTGGTCAGCGGGAGACCTCGGATTAGACCCTAGATGGTCTCACCCCAGGGGCTATGCTCCTGACAACCAAGCAAGGGATTAAGAGAAGAGAGGGACTGTGGCCTGGGAATGGTATCCTGTGCTTTTAAGTTTCCAGTGCCAACTCAAACAGATATTTACACACCAGTGTACACAATAGCCAGAAGGTAGCAACAATCCAAGTTTCCCTAAGAAATGAAGGGGTAAACAAAATGTGGTGTATACACACGATGGAATGTTACTCAGCCACAAAAAGGAATGCAAAAATGGTGGTGTGTATGGCCACATGGATCACCCTTGAAAACATGATGTTTAGTGAAGCCAGACGCAGTAGGATAAATATTGTCTGATTACACTTGCGTGAGGTACCTAGAATGGGCCAGGTTGTAGACACAAAGCAGGAGAGAGGTTACTGGGATCTGAAAGGAGGAGATAGTGGGGAGTTGTTCTTTAATGGGCACAGCGTTTTTGTTGGGATAATAAAGTTTGGGGTATAAATAGCGGTGATGGTTACACAAGATTGAGAATGTGTTTAATGGCACTGAAATGTGTACTGACACATGGCCAAAATTGTAAATATTATGCAATATATATCTTACCACAAAACTGAAAAAAGGTTTCAGTGGTGAATCTGTTCTGGGTGATTACAGAAACAAAAAATCTGTTGTAGAAATGAGCTGCTGAATGCAGACTAGAGGTAAAGATGGTTGGAGTTGAGAAGATCAAGAAAGGGCAAGGCCAGGAGTTGAATGGGTCATCCAGGAGGAGCGCCGCGTCCTGACAATTATTTATCTTCAGGGGCAGTGCCTGTGTCATTATCAGGCCCTATGCATTGAATACAAGGAGGACGAAAACCAAGCTGAAATGGTTCACTTCCACTTCAGCCCCTTCTCCAAACTCACTGAGGTGCAGATGCTGATTTTCGTGACTGTCCTGATTGTGTGCCTGATCAGCAGCAGCAGCAATGCCTTCATTTCTCTGATATTCTGGGTCACCCGCTGTCTCCACACCCCTGTGTACTTTTTCCTGGCCAGTGTGGAGCGCTGGAGATCTGCTACTCTTCCACCGCTGCCCCTCTGACTCTGGTCAGCAGCCTGTCCACAGAAAGAACCCTCATCTCCCTGCTTGGCCGTGGCGCCCAGATGTTCTCCTTCCTTGGCAGCACAGACTGCATTCTGCTGGCCCTCATAACCTATGTGAGTGACCTTAGAAACAGATGCCTTCCCAGGCAAGCATGAGCCCAGCACTGTGGCCCAGCCAATGCCTTCACTGCAGTCTTGTGAGATATCTTGACACAGAGACACCCAGCTAAGCCACACTTGGATTCCTCCCGAATTGCAGAAGTGATAGGATAAAAAATGTTTGTTCTTTGAAGCTGCTGGGTGTTGGGGCACTTGTTATGCAGCCATAGATAACTAATACAAACTGTGAGGGGGCAAAACTACAAGTCAGAAAGCTTATTCTCCATCCTGGTTATTCTCCGTCCTTCCTGCCATGGGGAACAATTGCTGTGGAGGACAGACAGAATCTTCCCTTCAATTCTCTAGCTCCCCTTATCTTTCTCTGCTGAACACCACATGCCAGAAACCCTGCCGCAAGGTACACCAGCCAGAAAGTGATTTTCCCTGTTTCCCAGCTGGCTCTGGGGTTTTATTTGGGGTAAGGCTCAATTCTTTTCTTCACTGGGAAAGAAGAGGCTTACAGCGAGGAGTGAGCAGGAGTCTGTCTGGTTTGTTTGTAAAGATGAAACTGTTGGCTGACTTATTTAGAACCAAAATGCAAACACTTGAATGAGTCCTGACTTTGTTTAGTGGGGAAACAGCTACACTAAAACCTGGTGGGTGGGAAAGACCAAGTACACTGTGGGGCAGAATAAAGAAAACATGTCAGAGAGGATACCGAGTCTGGGACCTGAAGTCACTGTCCACCTACGTGGAGGCCCTGGAGTCCACTTGGGCTCAGTATCGTGTTTTCCGCACCAGCCCAGGGACTCCTCTAGCTCAGGTCCCATGTGCCACAGTTACTTGACTTCCTTCAATTTTTGTTTGTGTGTGTGTGTGTGTGTGTGTGTGCACAGCTAGTAGGTAGAATCCAGACTTCTGCCTGTCAGGAAAGAACAAATATTAATATTAAGATAAAATTAACAAAGTAGGGTTCATACCCACTAGGAGGTTTCAAGAAGGCTTGAAGTCTGTAATAACTACCCTCGGATGGAACGCCATAACAAAAGAAGTCTGATGATGTCCCCCTGCCTGGACTCCTGCAACTCCAGTTGCAGGTCAGAGGGCTCTTTACACTGTTTTCAGGGTTTACAAAAATAAGGGGCGGCATCATATGGTTATCTCTGTATGGCCACACAGGCCAACCAAAAGGTCATTTTTTTCTTCATGGAAACATCCTCTCATTGAAAACTAAATCCCATCACCCTCAGTTATATGGAGAAGTAATTGACATATAACACTGCATTAGTTTAAAGCATGTAACAGTGACTTACAAGCTTTAAGTATATGAGTATGTATGTACAGTATTGCAAAATGATTACCATAAGTTAACATCCGTTACCTGAAAGTTACAATTTTTCTTATGATAGGGCTTTTAAGATCTATTCTCTTAGCATATTTCAAATATATTACACATTATTGTTAAGTATAGCCACCATGCTGCATATTATATCCCCAGAGCTTATTTCTCCAATAACTGAAAGTTTGTGTCCTCACCCATTTTGCTCCTTCCCCCCAAGGACCAGCCTGTGCTCTTTACGTATGAACTCGAGGAAACCAAGTTTCTTATTACACAGTAAGTGTATTTTGTTAGGGATACGGAGTCTTTAAAAACAAGAGATCCACAAATGAAAAAAAGAATGCACGATATTTTTGATCTTGAAGACTGGTAATCATTAGTTTTGATCCGCTCCCTTACTTGAAAGATGACAAAATAGATTGTGTGATGTCAGGTGACCACTGTTTTGTGGCAACACTCTGAGACTGGATCCAGGAGACCCTCATTTCCTGAAGTGCAGGGACCCAGCTAGTCCAGCAAAGGTTTGTTAAGAGGTGGGATGGTTCCGATTCACTTTTTTCCGTGTACGGCCACCAGGGGGCGCAGAAGCCTCCTAGTACCGCAGGTGGGAAACTCCACCCAGAGGATAACACCTGCGGTGGCAGGAAGCGTTCTGGACTAACCAGGGCGGGTTGGGGCTGAGAAAGGCGGGGTTCAAACTGCCCTGCCGTTCACGGACTGTGCAAATATATCTTTATGGGAGGCGATGAAGTCAGCATGGAGCGCGCGCTCAGATCGCAGGAGAGGGCAAAGGTCTGTTAGAATTTCGAAAAATACTGCAGCCTTTTAACCCGAATGCATCGAGCAGATTGTTTTCTGGACTTGAGAAATGAATCTTCGGAGAGTCAGTCCCTTGTATTGAGCGCCATTCTCTGCTGAGTAGGTCATTTGTTCCCCCAAAAGGGCACAAATGGGGAAGAGAGAGGAGAGGGTGGGTTCCGGGAGACAGCGGCGTCAAGGAGGAGGGGGGAGCAGTGAACCTCCCCGCCCCGCCCTTTTTCAGAAGTTACGACCCACCTGGGGGTCTACACCGGGTAGAGAGACGGCTTAAGCTTTCCAAAGCGAGTATCTTTACTTACAACCCTGATCTATAATTTACTAATCAGTCCTGTCTCCGCTGCCACCTAGGCCTCAGCCCACGCTGCGAAGTATTAGCTCTTATTTATAGATACAGGAACAGTCCCCTAGAGAAAGAGGAACGGTGATCCCCCCCCAAGGTCTTACAGTGGCAGGTGTTCTGACTTCAATATCGAAGTGCTTGACATTTCTCCGAAGGGTCCCTACTGCCAAGGCCAGGAAATCCGAATTCTTCGTTCCCGCCCGCCCGGCCCGCTTCTTCTCCTCCAGTTACTCTCCCGGGGGCCGCCCCCTACCAGCTGCTTTACTAGAATGCCCTCCCCCGGAGACCTCGGCTGCGGTCTCCCCGCACGTGGCCTGTCCAGTCACGTCGTCTTCGTCTGCAGCGCTTCGCCCCACCTCGCAACGACCAGCGGGTCTGGTGAGGGCTGGATCCCAGCACAGAGCCCGGCGCAGGCAGAGACTGTCTGTCGGGCGCAAAGGATGGAACCCAGGCCAAACCGGCGCCCTCGCTCTTCCTCCGCCCTGCGGCGGGTCTCCCAGCGCCCCGCCCTCTCCCCAGACCTCTCCGCTCTTTCGAGGGACCGCGGGTCCGAGCGGGGGAGTTAGAGGGGCCGCGGGTGGCGGGGCGGCGGCCGGGCTGGGCCCCTTTAAGGAGGAGCGCGGGGCGCGGCCCAGGTAAGGGGCGGGCCCGCGGGCGGATCAGCGCTACGCGCCGGCGCTGGCCCCGGAGCCGGATTTGGAGCTCGCGGCGCCGGCGGGGCCGCAGGGGGCGGCTTGGCGGAGCCTCCCCAGGTCTCGGACACTCCTCCCAGCCCGCCGCCGCCGCCCGCCGCCGCCTCCAGCTCCCCGGCGCCGGCCCGGCCGGGTCGCCACTTCCGGCAGCTCACCTGGGACGCGCTCACCTGCCTCCGGGCGCCTGGGCACCAGGATGAAGGACCGGCTGGAGCAGCTGAAGGCCGTGAGTCCCGCCGCCCCCGGGAGCCCGGCGGGCGGAGGGCTTCGGAGGGTGGCGCTGCGCGGGAGAGGGGCTTCCCTTCTCTCCCCAAATCCAGGCCGGAGGGGGCTGCGCGCGAGGCCTGCCCCCCACAAGCCCCAGGCGCATCCCGCGCTGGCTCCGCACTCTCCCCTCCCCACCGGGGTCATGTGCCGGTGATTCATCGCTGGACTGCGATTTCCCTGGATGCCTCTAACTAGGCTCTCCTCCCTCCTCCTCTCCCCAGCTGGACAGCGTCAGTGCGGAGCTGGGATCCGCGGAGGGTGCTTGGGCCAAGAGGAGCTCTCAGTGAGGTCCGGGGCACCCCGCTACGCCCAGGACTGACCCCCTCCTACCCTTTTTGTTTCCCTCCTGGGGGACCCCCAGAGCTGTGTGCTGAGATGGGTCCAGCTCATTGTCATCCGGCGCTCTGTAATTATTAATTTACCCCTGCATCCTCGGGGCAGCTGTGGTAGGGGCAAAGGCTGTGAAGGTAGCCCGCCTCCGGCCCTGCTACACAAGGCTGGAGAACCTTAGGCTACCTACTCTTTTGAGGCTCTATTTTCCTTATCTGTTCAATGGGGGTGATCACGCCTTGACTAGAGCTTTGTTAAGAGATCAAGTGACATAATGAGACTTAGCATACACAGGTTTTTGAGTCAGATATTCACTGACTCAACAAATAATTATGGAGTGCAGTCTAGGGGCAGGCTCTGCCTCAGTGGAATTGAAAAATCTAGTCCTGGACACAAAGTAGTCCATCTACTTGGGCGCTTGTTGGAAGTGCTGAAGTGTTAGCTGCCCCTTGACCTCGGATCTGAAGTTTTGTCGCCTGTGAAATGGGTGGTTGTGAGGACCACCCCAGAAGGGCCTGTACAGCACCCTGGGGACTAATGAACGGTACATGTGATGCTACTGACTGTTAAAACTCTTTGGAAAAATAGAGACCTCATACAAACATGAGGGACTAGTGGGATGTCGCAATTGTTTTCCTTTCTCCTCCCTTGCCTTGGGTGACACCTTTGGGACCTTTCACCCTCTCTGGATAGAAGGAGAGGAGCAGGTCAAGGGGGAATGTGAGACAGGAAGGGACAGTGGAAGGAGTGAGCCGCTGTGCTTCCTACCTGCTGTCTGTCACCTGAGCCCCACAGTGGTTACCAACAGGGCAGAATGTCTTGCTACTGTTTTGGTAGGTGAGGAGACTGGAGCTCAGCCCGGGTAGGAGGGTTGCCACAAGTGACAGAGCTGGTGACCCTCCACCGTGCTCTTTCTCTGAAGCACACTAGTTGGGGTGGCAGAAAGGGAAGAGGAGCCTGGTTTTGAAGGTCTTCCTCTCTCAGCACATCCAGGCATCGTAGAACATGGCAAAACCGAACAGCCGGCCGAGGTGGCTCCCTTCCCCTCAGGGATTTCCAGAGGAAGATATGCTGTGGCCTCTTTCAGTAGCCCACTGTCCACAAAGAGCAGAGAGCCTTCACTGAGCTTTGCATTCCCAGGATAAATTCAGTTTGCCGGGGAGCCAAAGCAAGTTCCTTTGCTTCTCCAAGCTTGCTTACTACACCCTATAACATGGGCGAAATGCTGCGTCTGCTCCTTTTGCCTCTTGGGGTGGTGGTTTAGGTGAGACTGTAGCGCAGCTGTTAGGGGAGCGCAGTTCTGATATCACAGGTGCTCTTAGCGTTTTGGAGCCCAGAGGCGAGTGGGACTGGGCTGCGAGTTCAAAGGCTTCCGTGGCCTTGCCACTTCATAGCTGTGTTCCTTTGGGTCACTTTCCCTGTCTGCTTCTCTGTTCCTCCTCTGTGAAACAAAGAGTTTGGTTGATCTTAGAAGCTCCTTTGGCAACATCAATGTTTTCCATGAAGACTGTTAAGGTTTACACACGTTTTGGTTTCTAGTCCAGCCCCTCTCTCCCCCTCCCCCAGGAGAGAGACAGCTCTCGCTGCAACAAGATAACCATCTTCTCTCTCTGATTTCTTTTATCAAGGGAAGGCGTTTGTTAATCTGCATGAAACCAGTTTCATGCTGAGCAGCCTGTGCAATTTCTTTCTGAGGCATCTTTCTAAACCTCGGAGGAGGCGAGGCAATAACTGCCACCAGATAGCTGGAGGGCTGTCACGTGCCAAAGATTAGGTTCAACTGCGTAGATACAGGGAGAAGATATGAAGTCAATGGGTAGAAATTACAGTTTTGCATAAAAGGATTTTTAGTGCTCACAGCTGCCCAAGGACCAGCTGGGCTGGCTGGAGAGGCGGGGAACCCTCCTGCACGGGAGGGAGGAGGCAAGGAATTTGTTGGGATGTTGGATGTCATAGGGAGAGGAGGCAATCAGGAAGTTTAAGGCCTCCATTCGCTCAGAGGATGTGTGGCTGTGTGACCTGTTTCCTTGTGAGCCTGTGCTAAGCACCCGTTAGTTAGGCTCTGGCTTCCGTAGGACTGAGGTCTCAGAGTTGCACAGGTAAAGCGGATCATCAGCTCTGACAGGTGTGGCTCAGTTGGTTGGGTGTGGTCCTGCAGAGTGAAAGGTCACCGGTTCAACTAGGTCCCAGCAGGAGCTTGGGACACGGGTTCCGTCCCTGGTTGGGGTGTGTAGGAGAGGGAAAGATGTTTCTCTGTCCTCTCTTTCTCGATCCCTCTCTAAAAATAAATAAAGTATAAAGTGGCTCATCATACCTTTCCCCTGGGGTCACTGAAAGGGTAAAATGAGAGAACCCCTGATAATCCCCCACCACAGTAAATGTGAGTTCCTCCAACTGGACCTGCTGGGAGCCGCAGCCACATTGAGAGGCCCACCCTCCTGGGGCCATTGTCGTGAGACCAGACTCATCTCTGGCACTGCCCCTCCCAGTGGGCTTTCCCAGCAGTCAGCGTCCTCAGTGACTAAGACAAGCTCGCCAGGAATGTGCGGTGCCTACCCTTGGCCTATCTCACCAGGTGGATCCTGCTGATTTCTCAGGAGCTGAACTTTGGATCTGCTGAGTCCAGATACTTCCTGGCCCGGAACCTCTTGCTTGGCTCTCTTTTCAGCCAGCAAACATTTGCTAAGCACCTGCTGTGTCCCAGGTGTTTGGGATGGTGCTGGGGTATAATGGTGATTAACACATTTTCCTGGGTCTTAGGACGTTCCTAGTCAGATGGGGAGACACACGAGAAACACACAACGGTGTCATCCTTGTGGTAGAAGACCTGTGGGAATACATCCTTGGCTGGCCCCTCGGAGATGGGGACAGGGCATTAGGGGGTGGGGCTGCTTCCCAGAAGTACTGATGCTTGAGCTCAGGTTTCTTCTTCAAGTCCTAGTTAAAATCAAATGTAATGCCTTTAGAGGCATGTGGAGTCTTCCCAGTAAGCTTCTCAACCTGTCTGTCTCCCGTTGGTGAGTGTCCATATACACACTACACACTACAGTCTGTGCTCTTTGACCTGGTGGGCTTGCTCATCCTCAGTCTTGTAGACCTCATCCTGCCGGGCATCATGGTAGACAGCATTATCACATAGTCCCAGTCTTTAAGAGTTAATGGTCATATAGGGAAAACAAAGGGCTGTATTTTATGAAGTAGGAACCTCGCCTCCCCCAAAAAACACTGAAGGTCTATAATGATAATAGAGATGCCAGTGATCTATGGAATAGAGGTCAAGGCCTTGGGACCCTGTTGGAGATTGATCTACAGAGGACTAGAAATGGTTTGGGGTGTATGGGCCCCTCCAAGGCCAGCACCTAATGAAATCAACCACCTGGGGCTCTCAAGGTCAGCCTTACTTTTTGCTCTTTCTGCTCTGTCTTGTGTGTCCTGCAGGGCTTGTCTTGGGCCCCTTGCCCCACGTGAAGTTCTGGTGTCTCTGCAAGGTCAGAGTTGCTCAGGATACCGGCGATAGCACAGCTCCAGAGAAACTCAGCTGAACTTCCCCTTTAAAGCTTAGTGCATTCTGTAAATATACAGGGTCCGGCACAAATAATGCCCCTTGTTTTTATTTAAAGATCTTTTATTACAAAATCATAGGCATGCGATTCTGTAATATAACAATAGCAGTCAATCATACTGTATGACATTTTAGGCGAAATGCTCACATTAAAACTAAATTATTACACCCATATTATTACCCTACCAACCACACTCAAGCATTACTCCTGCCTGACCCTGTATTTTGAGCCCCTTTATGCTTTGGATCATAAGCGAACCTCAGCACCCTGACTTGAGGATCTATCTGGTCACTGAGATCCCGTCCTTCAATGACCGGATTTCTTCCCAGCTCCTCTCTTTCCCTGGGAGCGCTCACCCCCTGGGCGAGCTGTTTTGCTGTGAGCAGATGGGACGCAGCTGCGAGGAGAGTGACGGGGATTGAGCGGGGATTACAGACCCATCGGCCAGAGGCCAGAAGAGAACATGCTTGGATGAGAGAAGGGGATTAGTTTTATTTTTATTCCTGTGAGTGTGGGGCAGGCCGGGGGACTGGCAGGCACCGAGGGAGAAATGCTTGCCCCCATTTCCCCTCTCCCTTTTGGTGTCCCTTGCTCTTGGTCAAAGTCCCTGCCTGTCTTCCAAGACTGACTCACTGTAGGTGATGCTCCCCAACTGGAGCCTAGAATATGCTTCCTCCATTCCAGCAGCCGGCATGGCTGTACATTACTTTGCAGCAAAATACCTGTCTCCTAATAAATCAGTGGGGTTATCTGTTACCATGGAGTGGATTTGAACCCACCTTAATGAGATGGACTCTGTTTTCTGGGTGCTGTTGTCTTTAAGATTGATGGTTCTATTCTTGTTGCCACCATATCAGCTTCAGGAACAAATGATCATTTACTGAGCAGCTACTTACTGTTGGACAGCACTTGCACTAGGCGCCTTACTTACCTCGCCTCTGATCCCCTCAACCCTACAAGACGAGGTGTTGTTATATTATTCTCATTGCACAGGTAAGAGGCTTGAGGCACACAGCTGATTGACATCTCCAGCTCGGAAGTGGTGGGACCAAGAACTGAGCATATCTTTTGTGCTTTTTTTAAGTCTCCCTACACTATATCTGTTCGTCTCCCCAACTACTGTAAGCTCCTGGATGCAGTGGTGGAGGGGATGGTCCTCTGGGGCCCCAGAGCCTAGCATTCTGCATGGTAGTTAGTTACCTATTAAATGTTTGTTGGCTAATGAACAACATCTTGACCCTTACACATCCCTTACTCATTATGATGCTCTTCTCACTCCGTTGCCTGTGGGTTGGTGAATCTTTACTTGCCGGAAGTGGAGCATTAACTCAGGGAACCCATACATTTTCTAAGGAAGCCAGAGGTCCTGGTTCCACCCTCAAGGACAGGGATGGG